GTCTTGGAGTGCTCTGCCATCTTCATCACTGCTCTGCCTCCATATTGACTGACGCCCTGAATTCTAGAGCCCCGTGTGCTCCCTGCACTCTACTCTCCACTTTTCTTAGAGATGCTGGCCAGCTCTGGGAGAGTCTGAGGAGGAGACTCTGCCTTCCTGAGGAGGCACAGGCCAACTCAACAGGATCCCATCCGGGACACTAGAATTCATCCCTGGGATCTGAACCAAGATGTCTCCTCTTTTTTCCCCCCTCCTTTCCCCCATATTTTTCCCATTATGTTATATTCACCACACCTGCCCCCAACGCCCATCCCCAATAGCTCTTTGCCTTAACATCATCCTCCAATCTTCCAGCCTTTTACAAGTAATTGCATTGTTTCCTGCCTGAGTGATTAAAGCAGGCTCTAATTCCCTGTGTCTCTCTAGATAAAACACTGGCTGCTTTTATGCCAAAAGGAAAGCGCTTTAAAATGTGACCTCAGCCAACAACTTGTCGAGGAGGAAGAATTTTTCTCTACCCTTCTAGATTCTTCTGGATAGTCTGAGAATTAAATTGACATGAGACAGATTAACGGGAGAAAATCAAAGTTTAAAAATACATACACGTGGAGGGTGGGGAACATCTCCGTGGCAGAGTGCGTGCTTAGCATGGAAGGAGTCCTGGGTTCAGTCCCCAGTGCATCCATTAAAGAAAGAAAAAAAGTATACATGAAAGAGACCGAGGAAAACAGAGTAACTCACCAAAGGCCGAAGCCCTCACCTTAATACCATCTTCAGCTAAAGACAGAAGAGGATGTTGGGGATAGTGGTTTGGGACTTCGAAGGGGAAGAAGGCAATTTACATGTAGATAGAAAAGCAAGTGTTTGGTAAACAAATGTTTGCTGGGCCAGGCAGAGACACTGGGGCCCAGAGAGGAATTTTGACAGACAGACTGTGCTGGGTTCCTCCCCGTTTACACGCTCAGTTCATACTGTAGATGTCTGTGGCAATAGCTCCCTTCCTGGAGGACGTCCCCGTCTACATTCTTTCAGGCAGTTAGAAGAAGGTCGGATTTTCTTCCAGAGTCTTTTTGAGTCTTATAACAATCAGTCTAAATCAATCCTCATGCCAAAGGGACAGAATCTGGGGGGGTGGGTTCTGCTCCCCTATACCCTCTTGCTTTAGCTCTTATCACACCCCCACATTGAACCACAAGTGCCACATCAAATTTTCCCCCACGCTCCCAATGAAATTTAAGACTTCAAATCTTCCTAGCACCTCCTTACCCCTCTCCCAGGCAGATAACCTCCTCATTCATCTGTTTCCAGGGCATGTTGAAGTCTCAGTCTTGGAAGTCGGAGGGGACAGCTCATCTAGATGTTGGTGCTCTGGTGGAGAATTGTGGGCAGGGGCAGAGGTGTGGAAGGAAGCTGAGAAGAAATGTAGACATGCTATTGAGACAGAAGGGAAGGGGGCAGGGCACAGCTGTTAAAGGAATGACACAGCAATTAGCACTAAGAGGGTGGAAAAGCCAACTCCCAATAGACCTGGAGACCCAGGATGGTGGGAGGTCCAACCTCCAGTGGACCTGGAGCTTCACTGTACACGTTGTAATGTCCTAGCCTGGTGAATGACACACCCACAGGCGCCATGACCATTCTCAAGCTAACCATGAAAGGTCAAAGAGGGGATTCCCAGGAATTGGTGGCCCAGTTCCTGGGAATCCCTGCCCCTTCCTCAAAGTAGTAGTAATAATCCTCTCATCTGTTAGCACATAAAAACTAGCAATACCACGCCTGGCCAGTGCACCCTTTCTCTCTTGCCTTCTGAGGTGGCCCATACTCTGTCAATGGAGTGTGTGTCTACCTTTAATAACCCCTGCCCCTCACAGCCATTCATCTCTCTAAATAAATATACTTTTACTCAACTATGACTTGCTCTTGAATTCTTCCCTGTGCTCAGCCAAAGACCCTCACTTGGTGGTGTGTCCCCCGGGGATTTGCCTGAGACCTGGGACACGACCATCCTCTCATGCCCCATTTTTCCTGTATGGGAGGCAAGGGGACAATGTCTTGGCACCCCTGCATTGAGCACTCATTGGTGGGAGCTGTTTCCAGGGAAGGAGTGTATATAACCTTGAGTGGGCAGCTTTCTTTGGCTGAGAACAATGCCTGGAGAGGGACTCATCTGTGAGCTGTTCGTGGCAACACTCGCACAACTAGGGGAATGAGTGTCCTGATCCTAAAGGGTAGATTTGGGCAACCCTCTGCAGCATCCTTTTCAGTAGGATAAACACAGGTCAGACCTTCCCAAGTTTGAAGAACATGACAAACACTTTAGGTGCAACAGTAAGAAGAGTGAGAAGACAATTAAGATTTCAAGGAAGGGAGTTACGTAAGTAGATTTGTGTTTCAGAGAGACCTCTCTGGAAGCCAGGTGAAGGATGGGCTGAAGGGCAACAAGACTGAATTCAAGGTGGGAGATTAGGAGGCTGTTACTGTGATCTGTGGGGGAGATCATAAGGGCCGGAACTGACGTGGTGTCAGTGGAGAGAGAGATAAATGGATGTTGTGATATTGTGATTTACAAGAAAAATATATTTGGTTTTCAACTGCTGTTTCTAGCCCAGAGCTCCTAAAACCCTTTAAGTTTTCTTTGATAAGAGCCATAAAATTGTCTTTTGTTATGTTAATAAGATGGCTTTCAGAAAG